GCGCGCAGTGACGGGCGCGTTGAACAAACACGCTGCCGGCAGATGCGTGTTGTGTAACGCGCACTTCGCCCCCTTGCAGGAGCACGCGTCGGCCGTCAGAAGAGCGCCGCTGATCCCAGCCAGGATGGGACTCTACTTGCTCCTGCTCACGGTAGGGGCTTGCTGGGCGCAGCACCACCCCAACACGCTCCCCGGCAGGACGTCCGTCGTGCATCTCTTCGAGTGGCGCTGGGCCGATGTTGCGCTGGAGTGTGAACGCTCCCTGGCGCCCAATGGGTTTGGAGGAGTGCAGGTATGTCTGTGCCTACCGGCAGGTAGAACTGCAACATAGATGGGGACATGTTTTACAGAGGCGTGTTCAATTCACCCCAGGACAGGTACCAAGACACAAAAAGAGAAATTGTTAGAGGAAGTAGTAAATGCTGACAAACAAGTGTGAATTGACTTCACTGCTCCAAAGTGCATGTTTTGTACTCTGTGATGTTGCTTTCAGATGACTCAGAACTGCATATCGCTGGCCACATCTTTTTCTAACCGCTGTGAAGAGTAACCTACATTTATCTGCAGGCTGGTAGCGAAATCAGGGGAAGCCCTTACAAGCTAGATGAACAGAAAGTGAAACTATGACTGAAAAAGGGCTGCCAAAGAAGATACCAGAGTGCTGAAGGTTTCAAATAACTGCATATAAAAAGCTGCTAATTGTGTTGCCCCAAACTGGCAAGCGTCTCTGTGAAGCCGAGTGTCGGGGTACGCCGTCAGGAACCCCCTCTCTGCATGAGCCGGCAGGAATGACCTGAGGGCAGGTTGCTGTGACGGGAATCTGCTCCTGTGGAGCACCAGCGTGTTCCTGCGAAACCAGTACCGTCAGAGGGGTGGGGTGGCACGGCTGGAGAGCAGTCTCCACTAAATCACCTGTTTTGGTTTGTGTGTCAGACGGCCCAGGAAAACCGGGTGAGAGGAGTCTGCCGGTCCCCTGTAGCCCGCTGAGGTGTGGTGGCTGGGCTGGCCGCAGCCGAGGGAGCTTTGTGGGCAATGGTGGGATTGGGTGGTTGTGCCCAGACACCTGGCAGTGGCAGCAAAAGCTCGTTGCCTGAGAAGCATCCTGGGAAGCATCTGTGAAAGGAAGAGGGATGGCTTAACTGGAAACTGTGGCAAGTCTCATGTCAAGAATGCATTTATCCAAAACATCTCAGCAATCGGGCTTGGAGCACTTTTAAGGGCAGCATGTTATGTCAGTTGTTCTGCAGTCAGGTGCTTCCTGGTCAGGGCTGTCACTGCTGACCTAGTCCTTCAGATTTCAGACCCTTCTTTTGGTCTCTGAGGCCTGCAGTCACAAAGGTAATTAGGACACTATGTCCACAGACACCCTTTTTATTGTGTTTCTGCCTGCTGAAGCTCTGGGTCTAAAAGTCTTTTATTTCCAGCCCACGATAGCGTAAGCAGAGGATATGTACGTGGGTACAGTGTGGTGAGCATCTTCCATTAGAGACCTGAATTCCTATTTTTATGTGCTTTCTCTGACAATACCAGGCAAACAAATAAACCATTACCAGTATCCCGTAACCAAGAGACACCGTGTCGTTCACAGATTTCCCCTCCAAATGAAAACCTTATCATTACCAACCCCTGGCACCCGTGGTGGGAAAGGTACCAGCCCGTCAGCTACAAGCTGTGCACACGATCTGGAAATGAAACAGAATTTAGAGACATGGTCACCCGCTGCAACCGTGTCGGAGTAAGTGCCATGAAAAACCTTCTGGTGTTCACACTGCCAGGATGTAGCCAACCCGGAATTTAGAAGGGAAGACTTGGTAGCACTCGAGTCAAGATGGAGCCTTCCCTTCTCCAGGCTGAACCCCCCAACTCTCCCAGCCTGTGCCTGTGGCAGGGGGGCTCCAGCCCTCGGAGGGTCTCCGTGGCCTCCTCTGGACTCGCTCCAACAGCTCCGTGTCCTTCTGCTGTTGGGGACCCCAGAGCTGGAGGCAGAACTGCAGGGGGGTCTCCCCAGAGCAGAGCAGAGGGGGAGAATCCCCTCCCTCGCCCTGCTGGCCACGCTGCTCTGGATCCAGCCCAGACACGGTTGGCTTTCCGGACTGCCAGCGCACACGGCCGGCTCATGGCCCCAGCATCTCACCTCCCTGCATCCTTCTCCCCAGGGCTTCTCTCGACCCCTTCACCCCCAGCCTGTGTTCATACCAGGGGCTGCCCTGGCCCATGAGCGGGACCTTGTATTTGGCCTTGTTGGACCTCATGTGGTTCACCCAGGCCCACTTCCTGAGCCATCCAGGTCCCTCTGGATGGCATCCCATCCCTCAGGCTGCACCGCTCAGCTCTGTGCCCTCTGCAAACGTGCTGAGAGTGCACTCGATCCCACTGTCTGTCATTGATGAAGATATTAAACAGTCCTGGTCCCAGAGCCCTGAGGGACACCACTTGTCACCCACCTCCATCCGGCCATCGAGCCATTGTCCACTAACCTCTGGATCCTCCAACAAATTCCTCATCACCCAAGCAGACCACCCATCAAATCTGTCTCTCCAGTTTAGGGAAGGGTGTTGTGGGGGGCCATGTCAAAGGCCCCTTGCCCACAGATGCAGTCACTCCATCTGAGAAGGCCATGGGGTTGGTCAGGCAGGATGTGCAGAAGCAGGGGGCTAGGGCAGGAGGTAGGAGAGAGAAGACGTTAATGATGGTGCCGTGGGCAGTAGCTTTCTCAAAGGGAGATGTGACTTGTGTTCTCTAGGTGCACATCTATGTGGACGCAGTAATCAACCACATGTGCGGCGCTGGTGCTGGCGGCCACGCTACCTGTGGAAGCTATTTCAATGCAAAAACTGAAGATTTTCCAGCTGTGCCGTATTCTGGCTGGGACTTTAATGATGGGAAATGTAAATCTGGAAGTGGAAACATTGAGGATTATCATGACATATCTCAGGTAAACCTGGACCTATAAATACACTTTTCAGGTACATCCACTCCTGGGCTGAGGTTTCTCTGCTCCCCTTTACTGTCAGACATTTTTTTTGTGTTTAAAATAAAATTACTGTTTGTCTTTTATTGTGATTTGCAAGTTCTCTTTGGTCTCAATTTCAGGAGAGATGCACTAGGGTTTTCACAGTAATAGTGAAAATCAACTTCGTTTAGAGATTTCTCTTCCTTGGAGTCTGTCTGTTCCTCTGTCAAATTACGAGGTCAGGACTTAACCACAGAATGAAAAATTATTTTATAAAGATAAATATCCATTTTCTTGAATAATGCCTGATGTTTTTCACATGCATTTGATCTTTCCTGAATCTAAGTTGAGAGGAGAGGGGTTTTGGAGAAATAGCAGAAGCATGGAGACTTTGAATGTCCACGAATTCTTGAGCAGTTCTAAAGGAGCAGCTTCATAACTAGTTCCTTAGTACAGTTTGTGACACGGGTGGCTGCACTCTGCTCTCTCCAGGCAGATGTGCACAGCCATAGAA